TAAAGAGTGAAACTCCATCCTCCCCCCCTGCCCCCCAAAAAAGGAGGAAAGGTACATGATGTTATAGCTTACCAGGGAAGTCAAGATAGGCACCTATCAGCAGGAAATAATTGAGCTAGGATCTGAAGCTTTTGTGTGTGTATTTCTTCTGTTTTCTTTTCTTTTTTTTTTAAACTAAAAAGTCTCTCTATAAATATTTTAGGACTTATTCCTATTTAATAAAGTTTAAAAATATATATATATTTGTTCATTTAAAGCACAAGTTGCCTTAAAAATATAAGTAATAAAATCTTTCATTGGTGACCAAATGTCTATGTAATACTATACCAAATGAAAATTCTGTACCTAGTAGTTTTAGAGAAGCAGAGACACTAAATATGACAATTAACAAAATTACTCATACTTTCACAGTGGGCTTTCTCAAATGTGTATTGTTTGAGATTTGTAACTCTTTTGACAAAATCTTCATTTAGTATATTGTTTCCATAACACAGATTATTTGATAGCTATTTATCTTTTTTGCTAAGTTGAAGAAAAAATTCTGAAACTCAAAATTCAATGTAGTGTTAGACATAAGCTTTTTTTTTTTTTTGCATGCAGATCCTCATTGAATTTTGTGCAGGTGGAGCAGTAGATGCTGTGATGCTTGGTAAATAAATTTTTGTTCTTTATGTTCGTATCTTAAATTATACTTGATAAGATGAAAGAATTTCAAACATGCATAAATATATATTCAAATATATGTAATTATTGAGTAAAGTTCAGTAAGTTAAAAAATCGACTCAATTATGTTTTTATATTCTTGAATAATTATAGTAAAATTCTTAAATGAAATGTTGAGTATGTCAAGAAAGTAATCTTTGTAGATATTTAGTTCTTCTAAAATAAATTCACTGCATAGAATCTTTGACAGTGACAATGCATACAGAAAGGTATATAGCCTGCTAATGTTTTCACTGTGTAGAAAGCAGATTTTTTTTTTTTTTACTTTCTCCTTACAGAACTCGAGAGACCATTAACTGAGTCCCAAATACAAGTAGTTTGCAAACAGACTTTAGATGCATTGAACTACTTACATGATAATAAGATCATCCACAGAGATCTAAAGGCTGGTAACATTCTCTTTACTTTAGATGGTGATATTAAATTGGGTAAGTTACTCATTTAAATAAAACATTTGAAGTTTTGCTCTGAAATTTCCATCTTTATGTACGTGACTTAATCTGGTTTTATTACTCTTAAATATGTGAAATATGGAGAACTAACTCCATGTTAGTTTTTAAAACACTTTCTTAGATAAATACTAATTTTTCTTGAATTCCTAAATATCAGCACCTAATTAAATGCTTTAAAAAGAAGATAAGAAAGAATGAGTTTTTATTTTCAAACAGGCAAGCTTTTTAAAGACTGGTTTCAAGTTTGTTCCTTTAAATTTTTTTATGTAGACTTAATACTTGTAAATGTTTTATGTTTAGAATATAATATAGTATATAAAACTGCTAACTCATTTTTTTTTAATTTCCAAAGCTCATGTCTAGTGAGCTTTTCTCCCTATGTTTAGTTTTATATTCTATTTTATTGATATGGTACATTGACTAAAAGGACAAAGTAATCTTAGTTCTGAAGAGAATGCCTAATCATAAGGACTACGGTTTTTAATTTTACTCTTTATATTGAGGGAAGAAATGTTACCTTCATACGAAGAATTAGATGTAGGTTTTAAATTGGAAATTAGTTAATTTCATATATAAACCTACAAATGGAAGATATGGCCCTCATTAAGTGTACCCAAGGTAGGAATTTTTTTTTAAAGTCTAGAGATGAAGTCCAAATTTGTGTATTTTGGAAGGCTATTCAAAGGACAAAACATACTCAAAAGCCTAGTCGATGCCAGAGATTATAGTCATTTCACTTCACTTTGTTAAGACATCTAAATGGATGGTATACTAAATTTTATTCTTTTTAATTTTTTTTTTAATGGAATCTTGCTCTGTCGCCCTCGTTGGAGTATAGTGGTGTGATCGTAGCTTACTGTAGCCTTGAACTGCTGTGCTCAAGGGATCCTTCCACCTCATTCTCCCTAGTAGCTGGAACTGCAGGCATGCACCACCATGCCTGGCTAATTTTTAAAATTTTTTTGTAGAGATGAGGTCTTGCTCTGTCTACCAGGCTGGTCTCGAACTCCTAGGTGCAAGTAATTCTCCTGCCTTGGCCTCCCAAAGTGAATTTTAACCTTTTGATCGTGAAATAAATACAGATATAGAAAACAACATCAAAAATTTTGTAGCTTTGCTTTGATACTAGACATAACCTTGTAATCACTACCTAGATCAAAAAGTAGAACTCTGACAGGCACCCCAGAAGCTTTTCCGTGTGCCCATCTCAGTCACTGCCCTTCTCTTCTCCACACTTTATCTTGACTTTTATATTATTTTCTTCCTTGTGTTTCTTCTTTATGGCTCATTCACCCAGTATTCATCTCTAGATGTTAGGGTTTAAACTCGCCCATATAAAACTTGGGATTTTTTTAAGTCTCTTAACTTATAGGCCTTACCCCATTCCTTTCTTTTCTTTATATTATGGCATGCTTAATCGGGCGGGAGGGGGATGAGGGCAAAAATTGTTTTTGTCCAAAAACACCTTATACATTACAGTGGTTTGTGACCTTCCAAAGGCCCACAGTACATGAAGAGATATAACACTGTATCTGTAGCATTAAAATTTTATGGGAGGAGGGATGATGTGGAAAAAAGGTTTAAAATGACTCCTTAGAGGGGCTAATAATACAAGAAACACTGAGAAAAACTGATCCATGAAACCTGGGCTGTTTGGCCTGTAGTGTTTCCCTCAAACTGCATTTTGCTATTCATACTCCTGAAGATTAAAGTGCCTCTCTGTATTTCCTTCAGTTTGGCCGATGAATTCAAAGTCTTGATCAGTCTCAAGCTTGATCCTTTGGCAGGACTTCTAGGTGGTTTTGCATTCTCTCACTGGAAGCACGTCGTGTCTACTTTGTGCCCTTCTTTGATGTTAGCAGCTATTGAGGCTTAGTGCCTACATACCTGTCTTTTGGGGTTACAAAATGAATTCCATTATATTATTTTCATTTATTATTTTTGATAATGATTTTGATATAAACACCAATCATCTCATTAATTTCACTCATTATAAAATTAGTAATGAAGATAATGAATTGGTTCTTTCTTACCCTCAGTTGGTGACCAGTATTTTTAAAATATAGTTAGTTCTTGGATTTAATTTCATTTGATGGGTTTCAAATCCATTGAAGTTTTTATTCTTACTGAAGCTCACATTGTTCCATCTTTAATCAGTGGGGTCCTCTTTGTGTTGGCTTTTTAGTCTTTTTTGATGGGACTAGTAATCTTTGATAGCTTACTTGACGGTTCTGAGATGTTACAGGCTCATCTGTGTATTTCTTGTTTTCTGTAACTAGCCATTTCTTTTCTTTCTTTCTTTCTTTTTTTTTTTTTTTTTCTGAGACAGAGTCTTGCTCTGTTGCCCAGGCTGGAGTGTAGTGGCCGATCTTGGCTCACTGCAACCTCCACCTCCTGAGTTCAAGCAATTCTCATGCCTCAGCCTCCTGAGTAGCTAGGATTACAGGCATGCACCACCATACCTGGCTAATTTTTGTTTTTTAGTAGAGGCGGGTTTTCGCCATGTTGACCAGGCTGGTCTAGAACTCCTGGCCTGAAGTGATCTGCCGGCCTCAGCCTCCAAAGTGCAGGAGTTACAGGTGTGAGCCGCTGCACCCAGTGTAATTAGCCATTTCTTCAAGAAGCCCTGGTTTTTTTTAGTAGGGTATAGTATTTCAAGACCACAATCTGGGTATAAGAGATACTTTCAGTTTTCTATATTGGCCATTGTTCTAGGACTTTTCAAAGAACAGAGCTAGACCCCTCAAGAGTTCGTGTGTATTTCCTATTCAAATTCAGGATAAAGGTTTTTAAAATGTAACTTCTGTAATACATTTCCATTTTCTTTCTTCTGTATTGAGAGTTCTGGTTCTCAAGAACATTGATACATTTAGGACATTTCATAATTCATTTTAACCCTCATTTCCTTTTTTTTTTCTTTTTGACCTACTTCTGGAAATTAACCCTCATTTCTATATGGAATGCTCACCACCACTCCTCATGTTGATGTCTTTTTGGTCATGTTGATTATCTGAAGCTCAGTTTTTGATAGATTCCTCTGAAAGGGCTCTCTGAATTCTTATATAGTGGTAACAGTTGTACCCTTTATACTTGAAGGTTAGTTTTGCTAGATAACAAATCCCTGGCACACATTTCTTTCCTTCAGCATCTGAAATGTATGTTCTTTTCATTTTGGTATTTTCATTATGTCTCTCCAGTCACTAGAAAGCAAGCTCCTTGGGGACAGGGGCCATGAACTAATTAATTAAAAATGTCTTACAGTGAGGGTAAATTTGTCTTCTTCAGTTCATGAAGTGTTGCTGTTGAAAAGTCTGATAATCTAATTTTCTTCTCCATTGTAAGTCATTTGCTCTTTTTGCTTAGATGCTAAAGTTTTTTTTGTTTGTTTGTTTTGAGATGGCGTTTTATTCTTGTTGCCCAGGCTGGAGTGCAATGGCGCAATCTTGGCTCACTGCAGCCTCCACCTCCTGGGTTCAAGTTATTATCCTGCCTCAGCCTCCCGAGTAGCTGGGATTACAGGCTTGTGCCACCAAGCCCAGCTAATTTTGTGTTTTTAGTAGAGGCAGGGTTTCTCCACGTTGGTCAGGTTGGCCTTGAACTCCCAACCTCAAGTGATCTGCCTGCCTCAGCCTCCCAAAGTGCTGGGATTACACACATGCGCCACCGCGCCTGGCCAGGTTTTTTCTTTTTTTTTTTAAAAGACCAATAGATTGACCCATCTTTTCTTTTTTTTTTTTTAAAAACGGCATATTCTTTATTTTGCATACTCTAATTTCAGAACAAAATGAACAAACGAAATAAAAAATCACAATACACAACATCCAATCCTGCTGTCAGAGTAGGGAAAGAATGGGGGCTTGACACCCTTGTTTCCTGCCTTCCACCAAAGGACAGGACAGAAAAACACCAGACATCAGCAAGGGGAGTCAGATGGGACAGGGGCACTCAAAGCTGCAGGGGGAGCCATGGGGACACTATACAAGGGCAGTTTTCCAACTATGAACTCCTAATCTACTTCTTCCATGCGAGATGCATCCTCATCGCCCTCAAAAGGAGGGATCTCATCAGGAACTGCAGCACTGGGTTCCTCTGCTGCCACTTCATCTTCATCAATACCTAGACCTAACTTGATCATGCGGTAGATACGGTTGGAGTGGGTCTGGGGATCCTCAAGGGAAAAGCCAGAAGAGAGCAGGGCGGTTTCAAGCAGCAGCACCACAAGGTCCTTGACTGCTTTGTCATTCTTGTCTGCCTCAGCCTTCTGCCGCAGCGTCTCCACAATAGGGTGGTCAGGGTTTATCTCCAGGTGCTTTTTGGCCATCATGTAGCCCATGGTGGAGTTGTCCTGAAGTGCCTGGGCTTTCATGATCCGCTCCATATTGGCTGTCCAGCCATAAGTGCTGGTCACAATGCAGCAGGGTGAAGACACAAGCCTATTGGAGATTGTCACCTTCTCAACCTTCTTATCTAAAATTTCTTTCATGAGCTTGCAGAGGTTCTCAAACTTTGCCTTGCTCTCTTCCATTTTCTTCTTCTCCTCCTCATCCTCTGGTAGCTCCAGACCCTCCTTGGTAACTGAGACCAGGCTCTTCCCATCAAACTCCTTTAGTTGCTGCACACAGTATTCGTCAATGTGACCCATCTTTTCTAATAAATATTATGTTCTTACAATATTCAAGTGCTTTCTTCCCCCTTGTTAGGGAAGTTTTCTGGTGTTATAGACCTGAGCATTTGTTCTGTTCCTTTGCATTGACTTGCTGCTTTAGAGACTTTTATTATTTGTTTGTTTGGTCTTTGACTATCCATGTTTGTAACTTTCTCTCAAGTTGTTTTTTAGCTTTCTTTTTTATTGTAGGAAGATATACACAACATAAAATTAGCCTTTTTGATCTTTTTAATTTTTTTTTTGAGGTGGAATCTCACTCTGTTGCCAGGCTGGAGTGGAGTAGCACAATCTCGGCTCACTGCAACCTCCTTCTCCTGGGTTCAAGTGATTCTCTTGCCTCAGCCTCCTGAGTAGCTGGGACCACAGGCCTGTGCCACAATGCCCAGCTAATTTTTGTATTTTTAGTAGAGATGAGGTTTCACCATGTTGGCCAGGATGGTCTCGATCTCTTGACCTTGGCCTAACTCAGACTCCCAAAGTGCTGGAATTACAGGCACCCAGCCTTGATCATTTTTAAGTGTACAGTTCTGTGGCATTAAGTTCATTCCCATTATTATGCAACCATTACCATCACCTGTCTCCATGCCTCTTTTCATCTGGCAACAATTAAAGTCCATACCCATTAAGCACTTAGTCCTCATTTTCCATTCCTCCCAGCTCCTGGCAACTACCATACTGCTTTGAGTTTCTTTGATTTTGACCACTCTGGGTGGTCAGATATCATCTGTATTTCACATATCATCTGTATGTGAAATCATATAACGTTTGTCCTTTTGTGACTGGCATATTTTACTTAGCATAATGTTCACCCATGTTGTAGCATATTTGACAATGTCTTCCCTTCTTAAGATTGAATAGCAAGACTATGTATATACCACATTTTGTTTATCCATTCATCCATCAGTGGGCACTTGGGTTGCTTTTACTTTTTGGCTATTGTGCATAATACTGCTATGACTGTTGGTGTACAAATGTCTGTCCCCGTCTGCTTTTAGTTCTTTTGAGTATGTATCCAGAAGTGGAATTGCTGAATTATATGGTAATTCTATGTTTAATTTTTTTTTTTTTTTTTGAGACGGAGTTTTGCTGTTGTTACCCAGACTGGAGTGCAATGGCGCGATCTCGGCTCACCACAACCTCCGCCTTCTGGGTTCAAGCAATTCTCCTGCCTCAGCCTCCCGAGTAGCTGGGACTACAGGCGCACACCACGATGCCCAGCTAATTTTTGTATTTTTAGTAGAGATGGGGTTTCACCTCGTTGACCAGTTGGTCTCGATCTCTTGACCTCGTGATCCACCTGCCTTGGCCTCCCAAAGTGCTGAGATTATAGGCGTGAGCCACCGCGCCTGGCCTTATGTTTAATTTTTTTGAGGGATAGCCATGCTCTTCCCCACAGCAACTGCATCATTTTACATTTCTAATAGAAAGGCAGGAGGCTTCAAACTTCTCTACATGCTTGTCAACACTTACTATTCTCTATGCTTTTTAAAAAAGAATAGACATCCTACTGGGTGTGAAGTGGTAATGGGTATGATGAATTTGTTATGTTATTTGCTCCTGCTTTCCCTAGTTTAGTCTTTGTTTCTAAAATGACTTTTTTCTTTAATTTTTAATTTTTTCTTGAGTTCTGTCACCTTTTCAGAGTTTTTCTAATTGACTTAATTGCTGTTTTATGTTTTTCATTATTTTTTAAAGTGCCCTAGCTTATTTGAAATAGGATGTTACAGTTTTGATCCATTTTGGGGCATATTTTTCTGTAAATATATTGAAATTTTATTTGACTATAGGGACATACTGGTGTAAAATAATGTATACCTTAAATATTAGTATACTGAAGGTTTAGGAATTCTAAAATATTGAGTTGACAATTGAAATATTTGTAATTTCTGTTTTATTAGTTTGCAAATACTTCCAGCGAATCTTCCATTTATGCAACACAGATGTATAGAACAATCTTATCTCTAAGAACCATATAATAGATAAAAGTAGTTCAGGCAGAATTGTATGACCTTTAAGAGTTCTACAACAAAAATGACAAAGGTTAGAATTGTTAATATGGCCAATAGTAGCTACGATTTATTGAGTGTGTACTCTGTGCTATGCATGAGCATCAAATACTGAAATTTTGGTACTTATTCAACTTTGAGAATTCTGGCATCAAATGTGAAACTTAAAAAATTTGTACATTTATGTCATGAGGTAAATTATGCGGCAATAGCAATTTTATGTTGCTATTAATGTTGTCTGAACTCCAGGCTGGAAAGGTGAGATTAACAACTGAAAAAGCTATAACGTTACTGTTCACTATAATTTAAATCAGAAAACATAAGGTTCCCAATCTTGTCTTGGCAGTATAATTTTATGAGGAAGTTAGCAAGACGTATGCTGTCATAAAGGTTGCTTTAGTGTAATTTCTATTTTTCACACTATAGAAAAAATGTTAATAACTCTTAATTTAATTGTGCCACGTAGCACTAGTTTGCATTTGTTTTGAAGTGGATATACTGGTCGGCATTAAAATTTACAATTTTTATTTTCAATTTTGAAGAATTTGTCATCTGAAGATGTGGTATTAAATATATTGATGATGGGATCTTTGGCGGTTTTTTGGGGGAGATGGTAGAAAGAGATGGTCAAGATTAAGATGGGAGAGATTTTTTTCTTTCTCTTTTACTTACTCTTTAATAAGATTGGCCTTATTAAAGACTTGAAATGCTTTTTCTCCCCATCGAACAATGCTTAAAAGTTCTCATTAATGCTTTTTTATGATTATTTATTTCAAGCGGATTTTGGAGTATCAGCTAAAAACACGAGGACAATTCAAAGAAGAGATTCCTTTATTGGTACACCTTATTGGTATGTATTCAGTTTTACGAATTTACAGTATTAGTCATGTCAGCAGATATAATTACTCATGAATGTTGTCCATATAGTTGATTATACTATGTGGTTTGCAATCACTGCTTTTAAACATCTTAACTTTTAATTGTCTGTCTTCATAGGATGGCTCCTGAAGTAGTCATGTGTGAAACATCTAAGGACAGACCCTATGATTACAAAGCTGATGTTTGGTCCCTGGGTATCACCTTAATAGAAATGGCTGAGATAGAACCACCTCATCATGAATTAAATCCAATGCGAGTGCTGCTAAAAATAGCAAAATCTGAGCCACCTACATTAGCACAGCCATCAAGATGGTAAAATATTCTTTAAAAAAGCTTAATAAGAAACTAGGAAGGAAAACTTGTTATATTCTCACAATTTTCCAAGAGCATTTAAATTTGGGTACATGGTACAAAGACTGTGTGAATTAGAAAAGTAATTTTTGGCATATTTCACTTAAGGATCATTAAAACTCTTTAGCTCACTTCTTCCATATGTCTGAAAATATGAATGATTTGAGTTTTGCATGAGAAGAGTATTTTCTTTACTATGAGGAAGTGAGGCATATAGATTGATCTATATTTGTGAACTTTATTAGAAGAAATTTCGTGATTTTTGGCATACTTGTGAATATATGGCTGTGTCTCAGTGCCTATGTACCTACTTACATGTATGTCTACATGTATTTACAGATTGAATAAGTTTTATTAAACCTTAATAGTCTCATTAACTGGTTTTTTTTTTTTTTTTTGAGACGGAGTCTTGCTCTCTCATCAGGCTGGAGTGCAGTGGCGCAATCTCAACTCACTACAACCTCCTCCTGCTGGGTTCAAGCAATTTTTCCACCTTAGCCTCCCAAGTAGCTGGGACCACAGGCGCATACCACCATGCCTGGCTAATTTTTGTATTTTTCATAGAGACAGCGTTTCACCATGTTGGCCAGGATAGTCTCAATCTCTTGACCTCGTGATCCACCTGCCTCAGCCTCCCAAAGTGCTGGGATTACAGGCGTGAGCCACCTTGCCCGGCCAACTAGTTTTTTAAATGTTGAATTAATACTATTACATACATAATGAAATTTAAACATAACTTATCAAAGAGTTTTGTTTGATTTGATTAACAACAAAGTAAAATAGAATGTTATTATTAAAATTTATTTTAAAGGTCTTCAAATTTTAAGGACTTTCTAAAGAAATGCTTAGAAAAGAATGTGGATGCCAGGTGGACTACATCTCAGCTACTGCAGGTAAGAGAATATGACAACAGCAAATAATTATTTTAACATCTCTTTAAAAATATAATTTCATAGTCAATGTGCTTTCTTTCCACCTAAGTTTTCCCGTGGAGAGTCAAAATGGCAGTAGTTAACATTTGCTTTACAAAAATAAGTGCTGCTGTTACCAACAGGCATTCAGCTGAAATGTCATTCCTCCTGTGCTTTTTTGTTTCAGTTTTATTTTCGTTTTGGTATTTTCCTTATGTCTCTCTCATTACTAGAAAGCAGGCTCCTTAGGGACAGGGGCCATGTACTAATTAATTTAAAAATGTCTTACAGTGAGGATAAATAGTAAATATTGTTGACTTAAAAATGTTGTTAAAGTGATTGGGTAAATTTAATTTTGCTTTATAGAAGGACTACTTGTAATATGTTAAATACAAATTTGTCAATTAATTTTATAGGTGGGCAAATAAAATGACAAATCTTGAGGCAATTACTGTTAGGTTGGATTATTATGTAACTCCTGCATCATAGTGTTTTAGGTTGACCTATTTATCTGGGGGAATAAAGCCGGAAAAAATTGCTTTGTTGTGTGCAGTAAGTATATCGCTGGAGCATAATTTGTTATTATTTTGTTACCCCCACATTCAGAGCTCTTAGTCTGGGACAGACACTGTTAAATGTTGAGTATATGGCGATGAATAAAATGTCTTCTTAGTCTCAACAGTATTAGAACCATGTCAAATATACAGGGGTTTGTAATTACTTTTAATAGAACTCTAAAGCTTTTTATAATTTGGAGGGCCTTGATAGGGTTTATAGAGATTGTTACTTTTTAAGAAGTAATAATGTGGCCAGGTGTGGTG